GAGTGGAGCGAGTGGGGGCCGGTGGCTGGGTGCTGGGGGGGGGCAGAGGGGGGTAAACAAGGGCCACAGCCCCCTACCCAAGCCCATCCAGCACCAGGAGCAGGACTGGGGTCCCCCTGCTGCCACGGGGCTGTACCTGAGGGTGCAGAAGGTGTCCCTCGGTGCTCAGTGCCCCTCCGGGGGGCACAGGGATCTGGCAGAGCCCTGCAGGGACAGGGGCTGGTGTCACTGCCAGTGTGGTGATCCCCGTGCTGCCCAAGGAGGCTTTGCTTGGGGCTCCTCCCACCCTGGCTACACCAGCACCTACCTGGAACGCTCTGGGGCTCTCCTGGCATCCAACTTCTTTGGCAGCACCTGCAGCGAGGGAAGGGGAGTAGGTGTCTGGAGGGGTGTTTGCCCCCAGGCTTGTGGGAGTACCCCTGGCTGCTGTGGCTCCACAGAACCAGAGCCCTGCCCTAGGAGGGGAGGCACGGCTTAGGAGCAGTGCATGGGGCAGGAACACTTGGCAAAGCCCCACAGGGAGGGGTCTCAGCCCCACAGACAAGGGGGGTCTTAGCTCCATGGACAGTGTCAGCCCCACAGATGGGGGTCTCTGAGCCCTTAGGGAAGCCCCTATCCAATCAAGTGGTTGTTGTGCTGTGCCCCATACCCTACAGAGCTGTGGGTGGCTTTGGAGAGGTTTGGCACCTTCTGGGCAGCTTGCCTTCCTGGTGCTCCCCAGCCCCACATCCCCAGGCAGAGCCATGGGGCAGCCCCCTCCCAGGCCCTGCTGTCCTCCCGGTGCCCAGTGGTACCTGCTGCGGGGCTGTGCCATGGGCAGCTGCCAGCTCTCCTGTGCCGTGCCGGGCCTCCCGTGCTCTGTGGCCAGTGCCGGTGCTCGGCGCTGCCCGGGTGCCCACCAGGAGGGTCCCTGTGGGACAAACGAGACAGGGCTTGGGTCATGGGGGGTGTGTGACGGGGACACATGGTGTGGGGACAGTGTAGGTCTGCTCCACTCATCACTCAAGACAGCTGGAGGGGAGGAGTGTTACAGCTTCTGCCCAGGGCATACCCAGCCCAGAGGGGCAGTGGCATCAGGACAGGGTCCCCTGGGGAATGGACAGCATGGAGAGTGCTCGGGTGAGCCAGGAACACTGGCAAAGCCACTGCCATGAGATCCTGGGGGCAGGAGGCAAGGCTGTGCAGATGTGGGGCACTGAGGGTCCCACAGAGACCCCCTGGGGCTCAGCCAACTGGTGACGCCAGTCCCTAGAGCAGCCAGGGCTTGATGGCTGCTGGGGCAGGGGCCCGGGACTGGCAGAAAAAACATTCCTGTCCACTTCCCGGCACCACCTGGCACAGTACAGCCGGCAGGGCCATGACAAGGGGCTCAGGGGGCAGAGCTGTGGGTCTGAGTGCTCCCGGGCCGCATTTCCCAGTGCAGGTGCGGCAGTGCCAGTGCTGCTGAGGCCTTGCATGCAGAGTGGTGGCACTGCCGGCAGCTGGAGCACTGAGTGGTGCTGGGACAGGGAGGGAGGAGCAGAGGGTCTGTTCCTGCTGGCGTGCCCGGCTCTCCCCAGTCCCTGGGAATCGGCCAGCAGGTTGCTGTGGCCAGGCCAGGCTCGGCAGCAGAAGGAACAGACACCACACCGGGTGTAGGAGAGCATCAGCCTTTTATTTCCTCCCTGCCATGGTCCCAGGACAGGTGAGACATGGTCACTGCAACATGGAGAGTGATGGGACACGACAAAGAGGCGGCACAGGAGGAACAAAGTGACAGTTGGACACAGTCATCACTCCCAGGAAGCACTGGCACCCACAGCCCAGATAGGGACGGGGTCAGGGTTACCCCAAGTCCCACAGACAGCCCCCTGCTCCAGGGGGGCTTGCTTACCCACCACCCAGCCACGGTGCTGATGGAGCCCAGAGCCCCATGTCCAACTGAGGCTCCCAGTCCAGCCCTGCTCCCCAGCCAGGGGCTGCAGGACCAGCATGGGGCCCCCAAGGCACCCCAAGCTGAGCTGCTGGCACTGCCCTGGCACTGAGCCCCAGCAAGCATGGGGGGCTCAGTCAACATGGGGGCTTGGCCAGCACCTCGCCTTGTTTCAGGGTCACTGGTGCTGGTGTGGGGGACACACCAGGGAGCCTCTCCCGGCTGTGCAGGTGGCTTAGTGCCCCCAGGGCCGGGACTGGCCCCATAGTCAAAGCTCACAGTGACTACGGCTCTGCCCCCCACCTCACCACGGCCAGAGCCACGTGCCACCATTGCTGGTGGCTCAGCAGTGCCTGTGAAGGGAAAAGGCACGTTGGTGTGTCCCTGCTGGCCTCAGGAAAGCTTTGGGGTGGCAGGGGCAAGGCGAGTGGAGGTTTTCTCTGCTGACTTCTCCAGCAGCCCCTTGGCCATGCCCTGGTACAGCCCAGCTAGGTGGGCAGGTCCCTCAGTCCCCACCGGTCCCTGGCAGCAGTGGGCTGACACAGCCTGGGGGTCTCACCACGTGGAGCCTGTCCTAGCCTGACCAGGGCTGCTCCGCTTGGGATGGAGCATGGAGCTGAGCGTGGGGCACCTGGGACCCTTCCGAGGGGAGGGGTGGTGGTTCACACACATTCTTCCATGCACAACCATTTGTATGACATCTGAGCACAGCAGAGAGTGACATCAGAACACAGGTGACACAGCTCTCCTCAGGGCTGCGGCCTGCTGCAGCAGCTTGGCAGGGACCAGAGCAGGCGCATGAGCGGCCCCCAGCCCGGCTTACCTCTGCCCTGGCCGGTGCTCTGGCTCCCTGGGGCCAGGGCTGAGGGGTGGCTGCGGCCACCAGCAGCGCTGGGGGAGGCTCCAACCTGTGGCCAGTCCTGGCTGCCCCCGCCGGTGCCACTGCTGAAGCTCTTGGTGTGGCACAGGGTGTCGTCAGAGGCCGAGGCTGGGAGCCCACTGGAAGGGGAGGAGGAATAGGAGGCTCAGCCCGGTTCTGTGGGGAGGGGGTCCCCTCTGTGCCCCCCTTGTCTGCCCCCAGGCACCGAGCGATGGTCTGCAGCCACTGCAGGGACATTGCCTTAACTGGAACCCCCAGGTTGGTGAGAAGCTAGGGACAGGAATGTCCCGAGGGGGTGTCCTGGGACTGTTGCAGACCCCCATCCCCCACGCTCTACCCCCCATGCTGTTGGGGCAGCAGTGTCATTTCTGTTCCCCTCAGTCCCAAATCCATCCCAGTGCAGGCTGGGGAGGGAGCGAAGGGGATGCAGGAGATGCTGGCTGTCCCCCACAGCCCCTCAGAGCCGAGGGACCCCGCAGATCCCCAAGGAATCT